CTCTCTCTCAGACGACCACCCACCTAGAGCCGGGGTCTGTCCGAGGAACCTTCAGCAAAACTGTGATACACAACTGCAGATGAGACTCCCAAGAACAGTCAAATATCTGTAAACCGTATCACACAGCACAGGACAAAGGACAACCTTGAGTTTTGGTTTGCTGAACAATAAGACACACATGTACCAGCAAATACTGACAATAACAGGAAGTGCGTGTTACAAAATGATACAAAAACACCCACAACTCAGATCAGAACAATGAAACTAAATGTTCTATTCTCATCTGACATCAGCAACATATTCTCTCTCTATTTCTTTCTTTCTCCTTAGGATTAGGGTTAGGGTCACTCTATTGTCCCTTTTTATCATTTGCTAATTTAAAGCTTTCTTTCTTTCATCCTCTATTCCTTTCTTTTTAGTTTCTGTAAACTAAGAGCATATATCCATCTAATAATGGTACGTTACAGAATCAGCTCCTTCCTTCCTTCCTTACCTTGGCTAATGGCTTGTTGCTGCTCTCCCAGTTTCTCTTATCCAGAGAGGGGGGCACCTGGTACACATCCTGCCCAGCTCCTGTCCCCCCGGCTGGGGCTGTTCCTTGGCCTGGCACTGGGCCTACAGAGGGGGGGACTTGGTAGATGTCCTGCCCAGGCAGCTGGTACTGTCTCTGGGCTAGAGCTGGGGCCTTGCTAGGGGGTCCTTGCTGGGCCTGTGGAGGTGGTCCACTTGGGCCAGAGGGGATCTGATACAGACTTTGGGGACTTGGTTTGGGGCCGTGGGATGGGGGCATCATGTAGACAGAGTCAGGATTGGGCTGTGCTGGGCTGGGGGTGGAGTAGGCCGGGTGCATAGATGTGTACTGAGTTGAGGGGAGAGGCTTGTTGGTAAACCCGGAAGTGGAAGTAGCGATGGCAGCAGATGATGGAGCAGGTGTTGGTTTGGCATAAGCGCTTTGAGGGGGGAGGGGTCGCTGCAACAGGGAGGCGGGACAGGAAGTGGCTGGATCTGGCGTGGAAGGCGTGGCCTGTTGCTTGCTGTCATACATGCCGACCAGGATCTTGAGACGGTTGCCGGGGACAATGCCTTGGCGACCATGGAGCGAGCAGAGCCACCAGCCGTCCAATCCCTGCGTGTCCCGCTCCAACACCGTCATGATGTCACCCTTGCGAAAGGACAGCTCGTCCGGAGACTCTGCCACGTTGTCATACAACGCCTTGGCCAACACATTCTGTCGAAGGACAAAGAGAAATATATAAGAAAGACTGAATAAATATACTCCAATTGGTTCATGTTGCCATCTACTGTTAAATGTGGCTTAAACAAATCAAGGCAGCCCCCATCTGAGCTGTTAGTGTGTAGAACAAGAAGAACTGCAGAGAAAGCAACACAGTGTACAGACAAAATAACTTATTTTGTGGTGTATAGCTGCCTATTTAAAGTGTCCTGTCTGTACTGTCTCTTTAAAATTTTTGTTTAGCATTTGTTTGTCCGTGTACTGGCAGATCATGCGACTGACAATCAATTACAATTGATTTAGCGATGACCCATTAATATGATGGTTTTCTATGTATGTATATATGTTAAACCTAAATCCAAATACAATGGATACACACATACATGCCTTGAAGAACCTTTATTTCCAATCCTAACTTTTCATTTCACCATGTGTGGGGATGACTTTGTCTTATGTCATAGCTGTTTTCTGATCTGTTGCCCTTATGTTTAAAAGTTATATGTAAGAGATTTAAAAAGATGAATTTAGCAGCAAACAACTATTCTCTATGCAAATATATAGAGGAGTCATGGTGTCAAACTCCCTCTGCCTGTGTTGCTATCACAGCCTCTCTGTGGTTTGTTTCTATAGCCAGACTAACAAAGACGGTTTTGATGTTTTATTTTATTTCTATCCCATTATTTTGGTCTGAGATGCTGGTGCTGTAATGCAACATCCAGTGGCAAAATAACTTTGTATATTTAAACTTTAGTTAGGTTAGGTTTAGGCGCAAAAAACTACCTGCTTACAGTTTGAGAAACTTGAGAGAAAACTAAAGAGACTGTTGGTAGAAAATTGAATGGAAATTGTGGTCTCTTGTATCATAGTCCCATGCTTTGTTGTCTCAAAAGCAAAATGGTTGTTTAGAGATTTAATTTCCAAGATCTTCCTGGAGATGTTTCACAACCAGTGACAAAGGATTTTAATTTCTTGCAGCTGTGAGTACATACATGATGGCTCAATGTTGTCCATCAAATGAAACACATTTAGTCTGCATACTCTCTATTTTAAGATTCTTCTTCTGTTACTTTTCCAGTTACACACTCAGCACCTGCTCAGAATGAGTAGTGTAGTAGTATGGAACTGGAGCAAAGCAGCTAAAATAAAAGTTCTTGTGCTGAGCCATCGACGATGTGTGTGTCCTTCTATGTGAGAAAACCTGAAAAATCCCAGCCACAGCTGTGCACATAATTAGGACAGCAGCTACAGCACTGAGCCATATTGTCATTCATTTTCATAAATGACATGCTGTTACATGTGTTACTATGCAGCCAGAGAGAGGGCAAAGTACAAGGACACTGAAGTGCTCCTACTGTTTGATCATGGACAGTCTGGGACAAGCCAGCAGAAAACCATTAACACAATCATAAAGGGTGGAGAAATTATACATTATGGGAAACATTCAATAATAGAAGCAGAAAACAGGCAGTTCCGAACTCCATTTTGGTTGATTCTTACCAACACACATGTACATATGCGGCCATCTGTGTGGAAACCCAGCCTGCAAACAGAAACACCTCCCCTTAGTCTCTCTGGAACTCTCTAAAACTAAACCAATATTTGCCGTCCACGTCTGAACTCAGCCCACTCTCCTCCCTCCCTGTGCGTCTGAGTTCCATCCCAACTATCACAGACTGGTACAGCCTGTACTGGCCCCATGCCAGCTCCACACACACACCAACCTAAGCACAAAGCACTGCCCATTTAAATGAGGCCATGTAATTGGCTTCCAGATTTATAGTCAGAATTTTCTTTCACTGAACTGAAGGCCTGTTCATGGCTTCAGAGTGGGCTGGGAACCAGACAGAGAAAGATACTCGACCCCAATAAACTCACTTCATCAGATTCACTAGTTATGTTAACACGCACAGAAAATACCTGACACTCCTCCACATTTCCGTGATATGGTAAATGGTAAATGGA